TGTGGTGTTCTTTGACATCAGGAAATGCTGAGAGTGAGTCACCCTAAACCCCGATTAAGACCTCTGAGCCCAAAAAACCCCCCGAAAGAATACAAAACACGCTTCATTTTTAATCTTTCTGCAGTTACATAAAATATTTTAAACACGCAGCTTATGTGTTCAGCGTTGAGCATGATTCAGCACCGGAGACTCACATCTTCGTGTGTTTGTCACATCTTTTAACCGCAGGGTATCGAACAGCTCAAGAAGGAGGAGAAACGATGGGCCAAAAGGTCCAAATGGATGAATATGAAGCTGGTGTTTGGTCACCCGTTCTCGATAGCCTGGATGAGTCCCTTCGCAACACCCGATCACGGCAAGGCGGACTTGTACCAGTACATCGTGTGAAAGCTGGACGTCTAACCGAGCTCTGCCGCTGTGGACTTCCTGGTCTGCCCCTACTATTGGCTGGACCACGACGAGCATGAACTCCTCTTAACCACTTCTACGTTTTCTTTCGTTTGTGGATATTATTTCAGGGTGTTCGGTTGTTGAAATGTTTATTTAACAAAACAAAAAAACAACCTTCACCTTCTTTCTATTTTATTGTTTCCCTCTTGATGCTGACTGAGATTATCGAGGCGCTGCTCTGCAAAAAAACAAGAAAGAAAAAAACATCTCTAACTAAGCTGCGGCAACTTGACAAGAAGCACTTAATAAGAGTTGGTGAAACGCCACTAAGAGACTGACTGTCTTCCTGCGGTATGTCTGATCATTTCCTGCTATCAAGACTACACAATGTGAACGCCAAACTGAAGTCCAAAAAGTTTTTTTGCAGTCCGGGTGCCAAGACGGTCTTCCTGGTTTTATCTTTCTGTAAACGCTGTCGTGATCCCGTCACCTCTTCATTTGCTGTATTCCTGTCGACACAAAGAGTCTTTTGCCGAACGATGCGCATGATTTGCCTTAGAACAGTGCGTTAGTATTTTTAAAAGACATTTCTATTATTTTTGCCTTAATGTGACAGTTGGGGTGAGACAGGATCGCATTGGTTTAGTGCTATTCTAAATGAGTTTGTTGTGTCTTTCTTTGGTGCCGGATAGGTGGATTAGTTCAGGTCATCTAAGAAACGTATTCTGAGACTGAATTTGATTTACATGCTTTTATTCTGCACTGATCCCCACCTATCTGGCACCCCAAGAAACCTGAATCGAATCACATATGAAAACAGTTTAAAGGCTGTAAAGTTAGAATCTTAAAGATTTCAGTCTTGGTTGATGTGGCAACACCCGTGGTTACCAGTGGGTGACAGCAAGTGCCATTCAATGCTACAGTCACACTTACAGAAGAGCGGCTTGGTGACCTTGTTAACGGTGCAGCCAGACGAGCTCACGTTCACGCCACGAGCTTCCGCAATCTGATTTCATGCTGGAGATTTTAGAATGTGGAAGGAAAGCCACTTAGCGAGGCTGATATCAACGAGGTGAAACTAAAAAAAACAGTAACGCTGTGACTTCATTATGCGTGCAAAGGTAATTTGAATGCGGCACGATAATGGCGGACTCCACTTTAACAAAGAAAACCACTTTAGAAGTAATAACTGGAAGTATTTACATTGAACGGCTTCTTACCGAAAAAGTGCCGGATATAAGTTGTATCAAAAAGTTTCATGGAAATCTTTAGGATTCTAACTTAAAACTTAACAGGTAAAGTGTTGTTTCTCGTCCAGGAGGCAGCACGGCTTGTAAGCAGGTAGTTTGACCAGTGTCTTTTTTTTTTGGACTATTTGGCAACTCTGCGTGTAGTAAATCCAGCCAACCTCTTTGCTTTATAACTATTATAATCACAGCCACCAGCCCGGATAGAAAGTCAGGGAATAAAAGCAATACACATCGCTGTCTGAATGCACTGACCCTCAGTGTAATTCACTGGCTCGCAATTGATGGAATTTGCTTGTGGATAATCCAGTCTGTCATAGATTGCAGTTGTGAGCCTGACGAGAAGGAGAAAAAGCCTTTCTGGACTGACAGACCACGGTAGAAATGCACGTTTTTAAAATTGCAGCGGCTGTGGACGGGTACCGGACCAGCCGGTGTGAGGAGAATATTTTACCTTTGGTGATGAGAATTCGGTTCGGATAGCAAATGGGCCACTTCAAAGCATTTAACACTAAAAATGCCTTTTGCTCAAATGTGTTTGAAAGCCTTACTGTATGTATAAAATGTGTTTTTTGAAGATGCTGAAAGGACATATTTGAAAATATATGTTGCCAAATTTAATGCTGAATGATTGGTTACCATTTCAAGAGTAGACCATAATCAAGTGTGACATTTTCTTAGGCTTTTAAAAACCACTGGAGTTTTTAAAAGATGTTATCATGATACGGAGATGCAACGGTTGCTATCCAGTTTACATATACAGTTCACCAGCTTTCTTCTTTCTTCTTGAATTGTTTGAATTTAATTTGTAGTTCTTACTATGGACTACATGATGTTGTTTCCTTTCTTTTTGACTGTGGTATTTGTTTAAAGGGGAATTAAATAAAACAGTAAGTATGTGACCCAACTTATTGGATATTTTATTGACTCAGTTGATCAGTTTTTTTTATATTTTAGCAAATAAGGTTTTACTTTAAGAAACTTGTAATGAATATATTGTGTCTGATCTTTGCTGTAAATACACTGTAATTTTGCAGCTGATCATTAAAAACCTCACTAAAATTTTGAAAAATAAATGCCTTTAGAATTTCTTAATTTGAATGGTTGCTTTCTTTTGGTTACAAATACAGATTAGTAAATGACTGAATGGTTTTTGCTGTATATGTCATTGTACCACCCAACGTCAGTAGAATTACAGTTTATCATTAGAAAACATCTCTAGAAAAGGGATTTAAACCAATTTCTACCCCATAAAAAAGTATTTATATTGTATAAATACCTTTTTTAATTCCACAATTTGAATGGCTGCCGTTTTTTACAGACGCATGTTGTCGATGGATAAAAGAAATACGGTTATCCTTATTGACAAATTTGGACATTTCGTTTTGAATTCAGGGATGGAAACAAAAGTATCTATTTGATGCGGTTGTGTCAAACATTAATGACAAAAAATAACATTCTGTTGTAATTGCAGAAGCATGCTCTTATCTGCCATGTAACTGGACTGCAAGGCATCCGAAGGGGCTTTAAACTGATTCTATTTTTACACGAAGTATTTAAAGGAAGGGAGCTGGTCTAATGGAGCATCAGCGTGAAACTTGCTCAAAGCTAATGCTCTTCATTAGACGTTACTGTGTTTGAATGCAAAGAGAGGACGCTGAGCTGAATGAGTACAAAGTCCCTGCTTGCTGCAGGAAAAGACAAACCTTCACATCTTTACCCAGTTGAATACAGGCGCACTGTGACTCACATCTAATTCAATCTGTATGGAAGTAGAATATCTCTGAGAAGCTCCTCTGTCTGAAGAACAAAGCTGTCACGAAGACGAACTTAACATACGACGAGACAAGAATCTTGTTTGTCAGATGAGATGTTTATTTAATAATTCTGTAATGTCTCTTCTCTCAGCGAGGATGGTCAATTTACACATCTGTTTAAGTGTTTCCTATTAACAGAATATATTTACACTTTTACAAATGTTTTTCACATAATATGTAAGACACATTATGAACAGTTTATATCGGAGAAAAAAAACAGTCACTCCCTCTAATCAAACCGTCTCGATTTGTGTTAAGAAGTCTAACTTAATGTTAAATTTGTCATTGCAGCAGCCTTCAGATTGAAGCGATGACTGATCTGCACATGTTTTAGGTTAAAGAGTACCAACAAACTACTGCAAAATCTGTCTCTTTTCCATTATACTACCAAGACATTAGGTCAAAACTTTACTGATTTAAAAGTGCTGAAATATTTACTGTAGTTTTCTTGCAGCGCAGCACATGAAGTCGCCAACGTGACACGCGCGTATTTGAGTGGTTTTCTAATCTCTCTGTACGACCACATCTTCAGTTTATGTGCACACGGATATACAAGTACATCACACCTTAGGGCCATGCGGCTGTCACAGAGCTATAAATGTGGCTACTGCAAAGCTCCGACTGGTTATATTACAGTGAGATTGGGTTCACAGGTAGATGGTTTACCCTCGTATCATGCCGTTAACTGGGGGAGAAGCCAGGCACCAAAAAAGCCTTCGGAGTCAAAAGCACAGATTAATGTTAAACATAGTTTGACATTTTGGAACATACACTTCACATTCACTTATTTGCTGAGAGTTAGATGAGAAGATTGATACCACTCATGTCTGTATGTTAATATGAAGCTACAGCCAGCCGCCAGTTAGCTTAGCATAAAGACGAAAGGTTAAAGGGGGGCACGGCTACCTGTCAGCTAACTGACTACCGCCTACCAGCATCCCGAAAGCTCACAAATCAACACATTATATGTCCTTATCACATTACACGTGTTATCTGCACCAGAAATTCTACGTAAAAATGTAAAATTGTGGTTTATGTCCCGAACTATTTCTTCACCAGTCTCTGCGGGTTACTTGGAAACTGCTCCCAGCCAAGAAATAGTATGGCTTAAAACCTCCCATGAAACCACAACTTGTTATTTGTATGAACAAAGCTATACTGGTTGACTTAGCTTAGCATATAGACGGTAAACAGGAAAAGAACAGCTACCAAGATTCACCTACCAGCACCTCTAAAGCTCACTATACAACATGTTTGCTAATCAGCTGGTTGCCTGGCGAACCTCACAGTGCTTTTACACTTTATTTAACAAACTTGATATACAACATGTTCATTCGAGGTGCTGGTATATTTTATTACATTTGGACAAAACCAGGCTAGCCGTTTTTTCAGTCTTGAGTAAGTTAAGCTAAGCTAAGTGACAGCTAGCTCCACTTATATAATAATCGGACAGACACGAGAGTGGTATCAATCTTCTTATCAAGCTCTCGACAAGAAAGCGAATAAGCGTAATTTCCCCCCCAAAAGGTAATGCAACACACCCAGGATGTGACTGGTAGGCACAAACAGCTGAATTCACTTCAGCGTGGCTGGGAGTGATATCCACTGCTGAAGCCGGCCTTTAGCTTGAGCGCTGTATAATCACATTCTCACTGCAGTCACATTGATAGGGATGCATGTGAAATCACATGGTACAAAACCTGCACAGCAGCAGCTGGAAGGACATCTGATATATTTGTGCGTTGCTGCTGTGGAATATTACACACAGGCATAATAGCTACCGTTACGCATTCATATTATGATATGTATCCAAACAACTGCAAAGTGTGATCACACAATATTGTTCAATAAAGCATTAGACAAACCACTGTATACTACAGTATACTTACTTAGCTTGATTCATGCTTACAGAAACGTCCCTCTAGCAGCATTTATTGCCATTGCCTATGTTCAATTATCCACGCTCAAAGCTCCCTCGCTGTTACACACATCACAGTGTTATGAGATATAAAGGAAGTCTAATGGTATTGCAAACGATGGGCGATGGACAGGATAATGGATAATCAGAAACGCAGGGCGCATTAAAGCTCAACAGGCAATGAAGAGGCCATGTGATGTGTCTTAACGCTGTAGACACAGTTTGGACATTTTATCACAAGATTGTGTGTTTAATAACAAGAAGCAGCTCATAGGGACGTCGCTCTGATATGGACCAGGTTGCTTTGGTGTGAGATATTTTGAGTTCAGGCCTCAGTAGGAACGTGCACACGTCTATCGTAAAGTGGAGGAGCAGCTCCCTCAAAACACGTGTCCTGCTCATATCTTGAGGTTCAAGCTGTCAAGAAAGACAAATAAGAGAAAAAAGAGCCTGGCACGAGCCTTTCAGCGCTACATTAGTATTATTACTTGTCAGCTAAGTGCTTCATTCATTATTATTCACCTTGAGCATGCATAAGATGCAACGTCAGTGTAGGATGTTTACAGTGAGTGTCAGAGTAACTTAAGGAAATGTGAGAATTAAGAAAGCTTTGGTGATCTGAGTGATGGTGACATCAAAGTACATGATGCCATTTGCCCATGAAGAAATATATAGTATTATCTGTCTCCTCCTTTAAAGGTATAGCTTTTGAGAAATGCACATATCCACTTTCTTACCGAGAGTTTAATACCACTCTCCTGTCTGTCCTTTAAATATGAAGCAACAGCCAAGGGATTGGTCAGTTTAGCTTAGCACAAAGACTGGATTAGCTAGCCTGTCTCTGCCGTAAACTAATAACATTTGTTTAATCCATATGAAATCCGAATTGTAAAAAATGGATGTTGGAATTAAACAAACAAGATCAAACATGTTAATTGTGAGCTTTAAACGTGCTGGTAGGCAGAGTTTGTTAGCTTCAGACGGAGCCAGGCTAGCCGTTTCCCTCTTCCACTTGTTATGCTAAGCTAGGCTAACCAGACGCTGGCACCAGCTTCATATATACCGTACAAACAAAAGAGTGGTATCAATCTTCTTGTCTAACTCTCAGTAGGAACGCAAATAAGTGCATTTCCCAAAATGTATAATTATTCCCTTTAGTCTACTCTTTTCCCTTCCTTCGCATCTGTTCTGTTAGCCCGTGAGTTGTTGTGCTGCCACTGACTGAAAAACTCCCCAAACAAAACGTAAAGCTAGTATAATTTTTGCTTCATTGGAGTGGTCAAAGATGATTTTAGAGCGTCTGCTTGACGCAGGCATCCATTAGCTTGTCTCCACTAGCCAGACTGTAGCTGTGTCATGGCCATACTGGCTAAAGGCCAACATCTCCTCTAATTTTAGAACAGTGTTTCTCTGCCTACATGCAAAGAAAACTGACAGATAAATAGTAACATTACAAATAAAGCATTTTTTCTTCATCAGGAAGGATGCAATTTAAGTGGCATTTGGTTAATCAGGAAACAAGTCAGTCAATAAAACTGGTAATTGGGGGAGGATTAACTACAAAACTGGAAATTCTTCTCATAAGATCTCACTTTTCTTTGGCTAGATGTTGAAATCAGAGGACATGCTGACCTAAAACACACCTCATTCCACAGCCAGCCGGAGCCAGGCTGAACTCTAGTGGAGACAAGACATATTATTCGTCCTTGGCGCCTGCGTCGTGTTGCCCATCCTGCGGTGAAACCCTCTGCAGTACCAACAGACCGGAGAAGGTCAGGGAGATCCCGACCCACCACAACGTTATCTGGGCTTCACCAAAGATCAGCTGGCCCAGAAGAGCCTGCAGGGGGCGAAAACGGAATCCGTGTTTCTTCATAACAAAGTAAATCAGTCTCTACAATGTCATTAAAATAACCGCCAATAAGGATGCCTTCAGGCGATATGTCAAACAAGGAGTTGAACCTTGACAAAAAATTCCTGTACGAGGCCTAAATCACTGCGACAGGTTATTTCTGAATATAGCCTATTTTCTAAATGAACGCAGCTTATATAAGGAAGAAAGGTCACTGTGAAATTAACTTCACGACAGTTCTCTATTACGCTTTAACCCTTGTGCTATCCTGGGGTCATTTTTGACCCCAGGATAGCACAAAATGTTCTAAATAAATGAGACATCATATTTTTGGTTTAATATTGAATGACTTTTCCTAATTTAATGGGGACAACTGGGTAAACACAAACTCAACATGTTGATATGTAAAGTTTTATGTAAAGCCATTAAAACACCCAAAAAATATCTCTTTCCAATTTTAGGTCAATCAGTGAGATTTTATGGTGATCTGCATATTTCTCCATAGTCCCGTAACAGGGATTCTGGATGTATACAGGTTTGGGTGTCGGGGGGGGGGGGTTGTTTTATTTAAAGGGCTATTTAGGTAGTCAACAAAAAACTAAGTACCTGACACATAAACTTGGGTAGCAATTTTAATTACAATAATGCTCTGCAGGTTCAACTCGCTGGGGTCAAAAATGACCCCAGGATAACAGGTGTTAGTAAATTTGAAGGTAACAGGAGGGTTAAATGTTGCAGAAATGAATGTTGACATGTTTTATATGTCAGGTAATGACTTGGAATAAAGTTCACTAAGGAGTGGAAGCACAGAGGTGGGTGATAATTTATACTGTATGCTTTATAAACAGTCAAACCTGACGGGGTCATTTTTGACCCCAGAGGACAACAGGTGTATGGCAGTCGGGAGGACAACACAAGGGTTTTAAGGACAAGTGGCAGCAGACTATAAGGGTGTGTGGGAGGTCCTGTGAGAGAGACTGTTACTTACGGAAGATATGAAGTTGGAGGCGGTGGTGGTCACAGTGGTTTGGGTGGAGGAAGAGGAGTACCTGAGTGCTTTGGCGAGGAAGGTCCACATCACAGCATTGCAGGTGAAAAGCAGCCCGCCACACATCAGCCTCAGAGGGATATGAAGCTGAAGAACAAAAACAGAACTTAATGCAACTGATTTGTGTTGACTTTAATGCAAAAGTTTGTGCACTTTGCAGTTTTACATTGTTATATATACAAATGCATCAATGTTTACGTCGCATTTTCATGTTGCGGTTGCTGGAGGTGAAGCAACTATTAGACTACCTACTTTATATATATTTAAGTAGTTCAATTTGTAACAATGCATCACACCTTGTTTAAAATCAAAATCTGCAAAGCAGTAACTTGTGGAGTGAATTATGAAGTATCTTAGAAATGCAAGTACAGGGCCTTCAAATTTGTACTTCAGTATAGCATTGAGTAAATATACTTAATTACATTCCACCAATAATACATTATATCAATGAAAGTATTATAATACATCAGCATCACATTACATTAATTATGTTGTCTATTATGATGTTATACCAGAGGGTGCATATTAAGAGCTTTTTGTGTTGCTTCTACCTGCACACCTCTGCTTTTTTAAATCGTTCAGATTAAATGGGGTTCTACCGTTTAAGGCCCCAGGCTGTCTGCGGATGTTTCTGACATCACCGTGTGACGTGTGCGCACAGCGTGAAGGTCACACCGTGGACCGTATGTAGGGTCACACACGGCACCTGACCCCCCCTTTTTTTTAAAAACAACCCTTCTCTCTTCACAACCACGCCGAGACGAGTTGCTTAAAAAAATAACGCGATAACACGCATACACACTCGGGACGAGCTGCAATGTCATCCGGCACGCGGACACGGCACGAGAGCGCAACTGCCGCATGGGCTCCCCCACCCCGCGCGATGCTGCTGCTGCCGACGCTGCCGCCGCTGCTGATGGTGCTGATGCTGAGGGAGTCGGGGAGGAGAGTCGGGCGGGGATAACCCCCCAACTTCCTCCGCGAGAGATCGCCCCGCTCGCAGGCGCGCACGCTGCATTATTCACAGCCATCCTCACTGTGTAAATAATTAACTCAAAACTGTGGAGATGCCTCACCCGGTCGCAGGCGGTAGTTTCGTCCGCTTGTCTAAATTTCCGCTGCTCTCCCCACGTCCGGAGTCCGGTTTCGCAGACTCCCTTCAGGTAGTCGGCTCCGAGGGACAGTTTGGCCGACGACGACGCCACGGCCCCGAGGAAACCCGCCAGCAGTGCATAGAAAACTCCCGGGAACATGTTGACGATGAGCCGAGGCACATTATTTTCTAATCCACCTTTTACATTTCTGATGATGCTGCTGCTGGTCCGCGTTGAGCTGCCTGCCTGGTTCGTGTGTGTGTGTGTGTGTGTGCGTGTTTGTGTGTGCGTGTATGTGTGTGTGTCACTGTGTGGCACGTTTTCCTGCACTGTCTACAGACATCCGTCTGGTGGCAGTCTCACAACACATGGTCAACCCGTAGCAGCGCTGTGGTTGGACTAAAAAGCCCCCCTGTTGCATTCTGGGAAAAGCAGTTCCATCATTCTATAACCTTAACTGAATGAGTGACTTTGAAGCAGCAGTAAGGTACCTCCAAACATAATGGAATCCTGATAACCACAATATATGGCCTTAATTAGATATTTTGGTTGGAAGAGATTAAGCAGATCATCAATAGACAGTAAATTGAAGTACCCCATATTCTTCTTTGCTATAGCCTAAGAGGCTATACCGGGTGGAATAGAGGACAATCAATGCTAATCTAATGTCTTTGTGTGTGGGCATAGGCTACGGCAAAGTCTGACTTCAGTTGATCCAGACCTCTGTTCCCTGCAGCATACTGATGAGCTGCATTATAAAGGCTCATTACATTAAAACACACCAGGTATAAGAGGGATGGATGGGTACGAATGTGTGTGTGTGTGTGTGTGTGTGTGTGTGTGTGTGTGTGTAGGCAGTAGGGCAGTATTCTAGATCCTCACACGTGATCTTCATTTCCTCTCCCCTGTGCCCTTTAAAGAGAGATGAGCCTGTCAGAGAGGCAAACCAGAACAAAACTAGAAGTTTCTCCTAATTAGGAATGGAAAGTGGAGTCATCGTCATGAATGTGTGGTATGGGCCTGTATTGACTGTATTAATCTGAGCGTTGTTACGAAGACAAGAGTCCTCTGAAGACAGACGTCCATCTCCTCGTCAGACTCGGCAGGGACCATGAAGACAGAATGGTGTCAGTGTTGTCGTGGACTTAAAGACCTTAATTACTTCCAAATCAGTGCATGAATCTGGAAGTGTGATTTACGCTCTCACAAACTGATTGATAGCACAAACTAAAAACTAAATCTTATTTTGTTAGGTCTTTGTTGTCTTTTGGCCACATAGGGAAAATAGTTTATTTTAGGCTGAATAATGAATTATGAACTTGAATAATGCTCAGACACAGAGATGTATAAAATAGGGGTTCAAAGGTTTATTTCATGCCTTCATATTGCCTTTTTATGCTGACTACTCACTCAAAGATAGACCAAAGTATCTAAAACAAAATGCAGATATTTCAGTTGGGACAGTATTAAGGGAATGTGTGGCAAAATGCACAAAGGGGAAAACTACAAATGGTTAATTTGGTTTTTGTATTGAAATTGACACAATAATTAACTTACCTCTTAGCTAACGTGCAATAGCTCATATTTTTGGCCACTTGGCGGCCAGGTGTGAACACAACACTGTCTTAGCTTGTTAGCAGACAGTTTCTTATTCACTGTTATTAGCAGCCACGGAGCAACATTAGCATTAGTTTGGAGTCGTGTTTCTGGCGAATGTAAGTTTAATATGAACTCTTTTAACCCGTCTCTGCTCTGTTCTTCTCCGTCCACATACCAACTCATCTGTTAGCTGCTGAATGCTCCACTATGTTCGGTCGCTCTGTCTGTCTGACTATCATTACTTTAGCTGTCTGTCTGTCTGTCTGTCTGAGAGTGCATTGATTGGGCTGCAGCTGGGGCAAGAAATTGCAATTCCTGCAATCGCAGTCTTGACCAAATATGTAAATAGTATGTTTTGTTTTATTAAGGGCAGAATAATCCTCCAAACTTTTTTTTTATCACACATCTTGAAGGTAATCCTCATCCTTTTTCTCAAGCGGGCCAAGTGTAAACCCAAGTTAGTGTCCAGGCCAGCAGATGTCTCAAATGTGCTTCAGAGAAATACGTCCACATCCACCACAACCTGCTTTTGATGCAAAGCACTGACTTTGGGGCAGCAATTAGCTTGAAATACAACCTGTTTTGCCTGTTGATGCTTTGCTCTTTTACCATAACTCCATAATACCGTTTCATCTTGACATTTCTGAGCAATTAAATCCTAATTAGCCTGTAAAGAGGCCACTGTGGCATTATTTCTGCTTTGAATACATCTGCATATGTCAAGTTAAGTTATGGGGTCATTCCAAATAAGAGAGTGATCGCAGAGTCCTTAAAGGAAATTAGAGGCACTTAAACATGGAAGGAAACAAACTTGGGAATAAAACAAGCACATAACAATGCAGGGCGAGAGCTCGTGTTGTCTGTGAAGAAAGGATATTGGAGTGGCGAGCAATGACAGTGCAGAAGAAGTCAGGTGTTTCTGTCACAATGTCCTTTGCTCTCATCCCCTCCTGAAACAAGCTGCGGGGAAATGACCGTCCTCCGTCTGTCACACTTTGACACCATCATCCCTCTGGAGTGTCTGCTTAGCGGGAAAAGTCTGAAACCAAGAGGAGCCATTAGCTGTTATCGTCGCTTATAGTTTCCAGCCTGAAGCTCCTCTGACAAATACAAGTGTCAAGTTAGTGCTCAAATTGGCGGTCCTCCTCCGCTTCTGTTCAATTGAGCGATAATTGAGCCCACAGAGAGCTTTAGTGACATTTTTTTAACTGAAGGTCTGTCACTGCCTTCCTGTGTCTTTGTCCACCTTTTCTGCTCCTGGTCCTGTATGGTGATTTAATAAGGAGGAAAATACCATCTTCAAAGTGTAGGGTTCATTAGTGTAACCATTTTAACTGTGACCTTTAACTCGGCTGTCAATTGCTTGCAGTCGAATATAGATTTTGACAAATGAAAGGGAAAATTCATAAAAAATGGTTGCAAAAGGGATCCTAATTATCTGTCTATTATTGCTTTATTTAATCTCAAGATGCAGTAAAACATAGTAATTTAACTTTTCTTGGCAGAGAGATGGTGACCACTTTGGCTGTGGGATTCTTTTTTCTTTTGGACACACCCAACTTATATAAAAAACAAAAAAAGAAGAAAAAATACCCACACACTGCTATCTTTTCTCCAAATATGTTTCCTTCAATTCCTATTCTACAAGGACATGACAAATAAAAGAACACTTGGGGAAGATAGCAGTGTTCTGGGAGCTTTATTTGTGCGTTTAATTGTTGTCCAGTACCTCCAAATAGTTTATATGTTGCACACAGATGGAACCAACCTACCAAAAACTCTCTTTTTATTGTGTGCCTTTGATTTATACAATTGTCTACTGCACTTTTATTTTGTTCAGGCCTATCACATTTGAGGCAAGTTATATCTGCACCGTACTTTTTGTATTTATTTTGTCCATATACTGTAAAGTCTGCGTTTGCCACCAGTCACTGGTGACTCAGCTCAGTTGTAGTGCACAGTACGTTCAAGTGTTTAAAGTTGAAAGCGAATTATAAAACCTTGAAACCTTGCTTTATTTTATGTTTTTACTTTAATTTTTCCTCTGAACTATGAGTTTTTGTTTTTATCTGTTGCATTCTCTTCAGAAACTTTTCTTGGACGCCTCTAAGGATTTTCCACCAGAGCTCCTGCTATACTCTCAGCTGCTGCATCACTTCTGGTGGGGCAGCGCAGGAAAGTCGCCACGTGAACCAGACACCACAATTCTGGTGCACTGCGAAATACAGAGAGGTTTCCCTGACGCCGATGGGCTTAATCAGCAGTGTGTGAACTCGGTTTGGCAAGTGCTTGAAAGTAACACACAAACTCCAGCTTTAACCTTGTGTACAGTGCTTGTTTAGGATAGTTTTATACTGAATGTAGGAGCTTGAACCAGCAACAGACTGAATGTACTGCTGTTGCAGTCTGAATTGGCTTTCAACATTGTGGCATAATGCAACATATGAACAGTGATGTGTTCCCTTTCGCATACTGTTGTATGTATTAAGTGCTTTTGAACAGTGATGCATTCGTTTAACTTATTAAGCAAATCACATAGCGACCATGTGACCATGAATCCTTGACCTTAACTGTACATGATTCGAATGAGCAAAGGGATTTGTGATTTCTAGAAATGTTTGGATTTCCATTTTTATTTTTACCTGAACTTGCGTATTGGCCAATGCAGAGTACCGATCTGATACCAGTGCTTTAAAAACAGGTCAAAGGTCGGGTCATAATTCCCTCTAATATCTATTTTTTTATTGCTGTGAAAACATCTCCTTCAAACAACACTGTATATATTCAAGTTTCTCGCCAAAACCTCATTTCACAAGATTACATTTGAACACATCATGATAATGTTATAACTTGCCTTCACCCAATGCTAATTTTTACTGAAATGAGCGTGAACGCATAATGCAACTTAATGCAACCTCCGTTAGCTGTTAGCTGTTAGCTCCGTTATTTAGCCAAGCAAGACTGTGCTGCCCAGCTAACGTTAACTAGCTCTCCTCCTGCCGATTTCAACACGGATTTGTTTAATCACAGGAGGCTGGTACTGGTTTGCACATGTGCAGTACGGATTGGGCAGGATGTACGGATCAGGTGGCGAGTGTCACGGGTTTTTGTTGTTCCTGTGTTGCATAAATGAGCTTATAAATGAAATGATAACGTGCTATCTGATCGGTGCATAGACTTGCATACTGGCAGATACCTGATCCAGCATTTTATGCCCTATCAGTCATTTACAACGCATGTGAACAACTCTGGTGATTTCAAATGTTATGCCTTGGCTTTCTTTTAACATAACTCTTTGCTATGCGAAGATTTGGACATTAATACACACTCTAGGGCAGTTGTGTTTTATGGTCTTGTCAAATTGTGTTGATAAACTGGTCTTAATTACCCATCCTCTTTCCTGTAGAGCTTTTAAGGTGTTCTGACCTTCAGAGCTGGCTGAGGGTTTCTAAAGTGTGAACATTACAGCCTCCATATTCATCTCTATGTATCGGAAAGCCTTATTCTTTAGCTGCCTTGATGAATATGCATGGCTTCATCCGTCAGCCTAGCATGAGAGCTGAGAAGTCAAATATTCACTTACAGGCAGACACACACACCCTTGAACTATGAAATCATTCTCTCCCACTCTCAGTTTACAGTCGACACAACGACACACACACACACAGTTTGCTCACCTTGTCAGCATACAGGGTCAACTGCACCCTTCCAGTCCATTAAGTAGCTGGCAAGG